CTATATATATATTTTATATATAAATAAATATATATATCTTTTCTATATATATAGAAAAGACAGGCCACGCCTACTCCTCCCACCCATCTGCTGGGGAGGGGTTTCCCAGTAGATCACACCCCTTTTACCAAGGAAGTGAAAGCAACATTGAAAACAAAGCATAGCTGGGCATTGTGGCAGGTGCCTGTAGTCCCAGCTACTTGGGATGCTGAGGCAAGAGAATTACATATGTCCAGGAGCTGGAGGTTGCTGTGAGCTGTGATGCCACAGCACTCTACCCAGGGCGACAAAGTGAGACTCTATCAAAAAAAAAAAAGAAAAGGCAAGAAAAAGAAAAAAGAAAACAAACCAGGAGCCCAGGGAGAAGGAAGAATGATGACTGCAAAGGGAGCAAAGGAAATATAAAGATGACAGTTTGTGAAATTAAAGAGTAGAGGAGACCATCCTCAACTGGAGAGATCAATTCTGCCCATTCAGCAGACAAAACAAGAATGGAATTAATCATTCCAGGAGAACAGCATTTCTACATGAAGGCAGTGAATGCAGCTGAAAAATAGAGGTGGCTGGTTATTCTGAGGAGCTCCAAAGCATGTCTAATACTAGGACTAGAAAAGAAAAAAATAAGTGAAACCAGTGAGTCTCTTAAAACCAAAATGTCTGAACTTCACCTTTACTGTGACCTCCTAATGCAGCAAGTTCATACCACCTAGAAGTCTGTTCACCATGATGAGAATCATTTACATCCCAGTGTAGAGAATATAAATGAAGCCTCTTCTCTGCTTAATACCACGTGTAAGACATTCATTACACTTAAGGAATGTGTGAAGACAGCAAATGTCAAGTTTAAACCTGAGATGTTTCACTTGCCCCATCTGGATCCCTTAGTCTCTCTTCTGTTCAAATGATGGAGTGTTCTCTTAGCCATCCTGATTCTTGCCCTTCAGAGAGGAATAGCCACTTTATAAAAGAAACAGTGTTGGCTTGGTGCCCATAGCATAGTGGCTACAGTGGCGGCCACATGCACCAAGGGTAGCAGGTTTGAACCCAGCCCGGGCCAGGTAAACAACAATGACAACTGCAACAAAAACATAGCGGGCATTGTGGCAGGCACCTGTATTCCCAGCTACTTGGGAGGCTGAGGCAAGAGAATCACTTAAGCCCAAGAGTTTGAGGTTGCTGTGAGCTGTGACACCATGCACTCTACTGACAGCAACATAATGAGATCTGTCTCAAAAAAAAGAAAAAGAAACAGTGTCTACACTTCACTGACTCTCTCAGTGACAAAGAACTTACTCAGATACAGACTTTTGTAATGATATTCCTCTTGAAGACCCAGATAGACCTGTTCACTGTTTAAGAAATATACTTGGCTTGGCGCCTGTGGCTCAAGCGGCTAAGGCGCCAGCCACATACACCCAAGGTGGTGGGTTCGAATCCCCAGCCCGGGCCTGTCAAACAATGCTGGCTGCAACCAAAAAATAGCCGGGCGTTGTGGCGGGCGCCTGTGGTCCCAGCTACTTGGGAGGCTGAGGCAGGAGACTTGCTTGAGCCCAGGAGTTGGAGGTTGCTATGAGCTGTGATGCCATGGCACTCTACCCAGGGGGATAGCTTGAGGCTCTGTCTCAAAAAAAAAAAGAAATATACTTAATAGGGATTTGGCATCAGCAACCGTTCCTGAAAAAAGCAGACTTATGGCCAAAAAAAGTTCTGAATCATAAGATTCTCTTCTATCCTTTTCCTAGAGAAACTGAAATGTCCTACTTCTTCTAAGTATTACTATGCAAAAGCTGCTGTAATTAAACTATTAAACTATTTTCTTTCTTTCTCTCCCTTTCTTCCTTTCTTTCTTAGGCAAGAATCTCACTCTATTGCACAGGTTAGAGTGCTGTGGTGTCAGCCTAGCTCATAGCAACCTCAGACTTCTAAGCTTAAGGGACACTCCTACCTCAGCCTCCTGAGTTTCTGGGACTACAGGTGTCCACCATAATGCCTGGCTAATTTTTCTATTTTTAATAGAGATGGCTTCTTGCTCTTGCTCAGGCTAGTCTTGAACTCCTAAGCTGAAGTGATCCTCTTGTCTTAGTCTCCCAGAGTGCTAGGATTACAGGTGCAAGCCTCCACACCTCAGCATAAACTATTGTTATAAGGAAACAAATTAGAAAAAATTAGCTAGGCTATAATGGCACATGCCTGTAGTCCCTGCTACTTGGGAGGCTGAGGCAAGGGGATCACTTGAACCTAGGAGTTTCAGGCTGCAAGTGAGCTATGATCACACTATTGCACCTCCAGTCTGGGCAATAAAGTGAGATCCCATCTCTAAAAAAAAAATTAAATAAATAAGTAAATAATTTTTAAAAAGTAAATAATTTAAAAAATTAAATAAATAAGTAAATAATTAAAAAAAGATCCCTAGGGACAATAGGCAAGCCCAGGGAGAGCTTATTAAAAACCTCATCTGGCCACCTAACTTGGTGGCTTAGACAGACACTCCCTCTCCACTGTACTCCTATCTGCTCCCAAATGAGCTCCAGGGGCAATATGTGTGCAGAGGACACAAGCAATCCCCCGAAACACACTTGCCCTGAGTGTTCCTGCCTAGAAGACACTGCTTATAGATTAGAGGAGCTGCTAAGACCAAGGTACTATGAAAACTCCTCAATCCAGATTTCTCCCCAAATCACCTAGGAGAGCCTATTAAGCAAGCAGGGTTCAAGTGTCTGAGTGATCCTGACCCAAGTGACCCACACTGATCTAATCCCTTTGCATGTTCAACATTACTGTCTAAAGAAAAATAGAGAACTTAGACCCAGGATTTCTTTGAGTGTGTGATCTTTCCTCTCTGTTCCTGCTTCTTTTGAGAACAAGATAAAAGTTCTCTTCAGGGAAACAAGCCATACTCACCAGGGGCTGTGATCCCCAGAACTCCCAGGTTTCCCAGCTGCTTCCAAAACTCCTGCCAACAGAATGGGGTGGAGTGAGTTGAGAGAAGGCAGCTGGTCACATATGTGGCTGGAAACAATGAGACCCAAACACTTCAGATAGAGAGGCTGCACTCCTAGGGAGGCCTTGAAGACTAAGCAAGTAAGCCCTCCTAGGCAGCACTGCAACTCAGCCCAGCTCCCAGCCTGCCCCGCTGCCTGGGCCTCAAGACTCACTCTCAGGTTTTTGAACTCGTTGCTACGATCAATCTCTTGGGCCTTGGGGGCCAGGTGCTCCTGAAGGAACTTAGCCATGGTCTGACGAAGCTACAGGGAGAAAGGTGGAAGATGTCACTGAAACCAAGACATTATTTGCCATTGAGGACAGTTTCTGTAGAGGACACATTCAGGGAAATAAGCCACAGTCATAATCTTACCGCACAGAATCAGACTGAAACTGAGAGGCCTCACTAGTTACGTGTCCTCAGGGATGATCTTCATCCCTCTTTCTTAAATTCTGCAGTCTAGACAGCTTAAAGGTAAAATGATTATGTAGGGGAGTGACATTTTACACAAATGAAATGAAACACAAACTCCTTACTGAAGCCTACAAGGCCCTGCATGAGCTATCCCAGTCGACTCTTCCAGCCTTCCCCAGTACCCTTCCACTGGGCACTAGCTGTGCTCCAGGCACGCCCCCACACTCCGCATCCCTTCAGGTGTCTACAGGCAGCAAGTCCTTTTAGGCTTCTGGAGCCTGCTGCTAAAAAGGATTACTCAAAGAGATTAGAAACTCTCTCCAGGCAGGAAAACTTGAAAACCAGGATTGCATGCTTTTTGCCTGAGGTGACTTAATCTATTGGCTTAAACCCAAACTTTGGAGTTGCTGGGAGGCTACCAGACTTGCCACAGGAGAATCATATTTCAGGGAACTCCATCCAGCCACTGAGTGAACATAGCTTCCTTCTCCCAGGACGGGCTCTGCTTCAGCTCCATTTGTAAACTATCTCTTACGAGTTTTTGTTCAATTTTGCTTTTTGACCCAATGGGCTGAAGAATGATAGAAGATCACACTGTGCAGTTTTAAATCCTCGAAGTACTTATTCAAAACATATTCCGTGGTGATAAAGATGAACCAGGTTTGAGAACTAGGCCTTAGCGTGCTCGGGTACACGTGTAAACAGACTACATGCAGACTGGGGGTCCTTTTGCCACAAAGGGTAGCCCTAAGCAATCTTCCAGCAAAACACCCTCAGTCTCGCGGGTGTTATTTTGGCCTTGACTCCTCTACTTCCAGCAACCCTGCGTTACTGTCTCAAATCTTTCCTCCACCCACGTGAGGCTAAGGTCAGAGGCCTGGCCTGAAGCGGGAGGACCAAACTGGAGTTCCCACGGCACCGTGGACATAAGCTGCGGCTGGGGGACTCAGGGAGGAGACCACTGGGCAGGTCCAGTGGAGCCAGTGCAGGAGGCCTTGGTGCCGAGAAGGGGGTCAGTATCCCTACCTGCTTCTGCTCCTCACTTAGCCCGTTGATCGCATCATCCACAGGCAGCAGAGAGTGGGCCCTTTGGGAAATAAGGCCGGCGAGGGGCGGCAGCGGCGGCCGCAGTCTCCAGCTTAGCACTCGGCGCCCAAGTAGCTGAGTCGCAGTCGCCATCTCTGCCTTGCACCGGGAGCTAGAGCTGCGGCGGAACGCTCTGGCTGCACCAATCCAGATTTCGCCGCTCCTCAGATCGCCCGGGGGGTGGGTCTGCGGCAGCCAATCACTGCCGGCCGCCCGCGAGCCAATTAGCCGAGACGGCGGTTCAGCCGGCCAGCCCCGCCTCCGACCCCGGCTTGGGCAAGCCTCCCGGGCGCTAGAACTACCGGCTTCTCTACCTGAGCTGGGCTACTTTTGGTTTTGGGTAGACAAGGAAAATGCCTTTGTTATTAAGCCAGCAACAGAACTACCTTGCTACGTTGAATAGTAGCCCCTAACTGCACAAATCTATCTCTGCGAGAATGCAACGTGTTAAAACAGCAATTGGAAAACTGCACAAATTCCCCAGTAAATTGGTCAAGTGTTATTTGGAAAAGTAGTGCTCTCTCTAATGTACACACTGATTATAGTTCAGTAGAATTTGCTTTGTAATATCAAAGGTTTGTTGCTTGATTCGCGTTTTATGGGAAAGGGGTTATAAAGAAGTAACCGATGTTCCTCCGTTTACAATGGGGTTACTTTTGGATAAACCCATTGTAAATTGAAAATATTTTAAGTCGTAAAAGCATTTTTTTCACACCTACCAAACATCATAGCTTAGCCTAGCCAACCTTAAACATGCTCAGAACATTTATTTCAGCCTATAGTTGGCCGAAATCATCTAAAGTAAAGCCTACTATTATTATTATTATTATTATTATTTTTTAGAGACAGGGTCTTGCTTTGTCACCCAGGCTAAAGTGTAGGGGTGCTATCATAGTTCACTGCAGCCTCCTGCTCCTGGCTTTAAGTAATCCTGCCTTGGCCTCCTAAAAGGCTAAGATCATAGGCATAAGGCAGTGTGCCAGGTCACTAAACCTAATGTATAAGGGTTGGCTATCTCAATTTATTGAATACTGTACCATTTCCACTGAATGTCTCTCGTTTTCTTATGAGAAATTGAAAAATCTCCAGCTGGAACCTGTGTAAATCAGAGACTATCTGTACTTAGCATGTATTTAATGTTAAATGATTTGCATTTATGTAATTTTTTCGCCTTTATACCAAGAGAGTTGGGTGCTTTCCCAATAGAATTGGTTACCTTTATTGATGAAAGCACCCAACCTTCTTGGTATAAAGGTAAACAATTCTATTACCAAACGTTTGAGACAGCCTAGGTTTATTAGAGGCTGTATTCTAGGAAAGCCCACATGTATGTCAAATGCTGTAGCATTCTAGGTGCTTCTAGACAGTGTCCCAGAAGAGCTATACTATATATTTTAAATAAATGTATTGAACAGTAAATAATATGTATTAACGCACCATAAGAACAACAGTCAAGACTTTTTTTTTTTGAGACAGAGTCTCACTCTCTTGCCCTGGGTAGAGTGCTGTGACATCATAGCTCACAGCAATCTCATAGTCTTGGGCTTAAGAGATCCTCTTGCCTCAGCCTCCTGAGTAGCTGGGACTACTGCCAGGATGCCTGGCTAGTATTTCTATTTTTAGTAGAAATGAAGTCTCACTCTTGCTCAATCTGGCCTTGAACTCCTGAGCTTAGACAATCCACCTTGGCCTTCCAGAGTGCTAGGATTATAGGTGTGAGCCACTGCACTTGGCCCAGTCAAGACTTTTTAAATGGGCTCAGCACCTGTATCTCAGCAGCTAGGATGCCAGCCATATATACTGGAGCTCGTGGGTTCGAACCCAGCCTGGGTCTGCCAAACAACAATGACAATCACAACAAAAAAATAGCGGGGCATTGTGGTGGGTGCCTGTAGTCCCAGCTACTCAGGAGGCTGAGGCAAGAGAATCACTTAAGCCCAAGAGTTTGAGGTTGCTGTGAGCTGTGACGCCACAGCACTGTACTGAGGGCGACATAGTTAAGACTTTGTCTCAAATTAAAAAAAAGACTTTTTAAATGAGGGTTTGGGGGACAGGACAGGTGTGTGAGGGGAAAGTGGGAGAACTAATGGTATTCAGCCTCTATGCCCTTGCCTCTCTTGCTCTATTTTGCTCCTCCTCTGTGGTGGGTCGACAATCTTGAACAGCTCATCTCAGGTGGTATAGTGTCCTGAGCCCAGCAATGAGGCTTTGTGGTATCACTACCTAGTTGTGGGACTTTGGGCAAGTTTCTCATATCTTTTTGTTGGGTAGTAGTCTGTTCTCAGGTCTTGGTGTGTTCTTGGCTGAAGAAAGATGGAAAGCAAGGCAAACACGAAATGAAGTTTATGGATGAAGAGGAAGATAGGTTTATAGAGCAAGAACGAGCTACATTCACCACAGATGATGAATGCCCCCCCTCCACCGTTGGAACAAGGGGCTCTGGGTATGGTCTGGGTTTTCCTCCTTCTCACAGGTATGGCAGTTGCAAGGCAAGATCAAGGTGGGGAGCACCAAGATAAAGTACTTGCCTTTGTCCTTCTTCCTATGCAGGACACCTTTGTTCCTAGAAGAGCTGGAGGTCCTAACTATCTACCTAATAGTTTGTGGAGAAAATCTGCACATCTGGTCACAAAAGTGTTCTGTGTTAAGTGTGAGAGAAAAAGGTTTTTTCTTTAACGACCAAGTAGGGCTTACCTTAGTTATGAAAGTATAAATATACAAAATCACATCTTTTTATATTTTTGAGACAGAGTCTCGCTATGTCAACCAGTAGAGTGCCATGGCATCTCAGCTCACAGCAACCTCAAACTCTTGGGCTTAAGCTATTCTCTTGTCTCAGTCTCCCAAGTAGCTGGGACTACAGGTGCCCACCACATACCCAGCTATTTTTTTTGTCACAGTTGTCATTGTTCTTTAGCTGGCCTGGGCTGGGTTCAAACCTGCCAGCCTCGGTGCATGTGGCTGGTGCTATAACCACTGTGCTATGGGCGCCAAGTCAAATTTAAATATCTTTTTTTTTTTTTTTTGAGACAGAGCCTCAAGCTGTCCCCCTGGGTAGAGTGTTGTGGCATCACAGCTCACAGCAACCTCCAACTCTTGGGCTCAAGCGAGTCTCCTGCTTCTGCCTCCCAAGTAGCTAAGCCTACAGGCGCCTGCCTCGGCGCCTGGCTATTTTTTTGGTTGCAGCCATCATTGTTGTTTGGCGGGCCCGGGCTGGATTCGAACCCACCACCTTAGGTGTATGTGACTGGCGCCTTAGCCACTTGAGCCACAGGTGCCGAGCTGAAATTTAAATATCTTAATCGACTTTATTTATGATTCCAGTTACTTTCTTGAGAAGGTTAAAGCAGAGGAGACTTCCTTATCAAGCCACTAACACTGGCACATCAAGGATTTGGCTATTCTCTCTCCTGATTTCTTAGAAGGTCAGATAAAGATCTTAGTTTCAGGTTGGTAGTGCGGAACTTCTGCATGTGACTCCACTTTGGTTTGGTCCATTGGGCTTAGTGCAGGTGGTCAGTCCAAATCAATGACTTTTTATAAATTTTATATAATAGGTTGAAACATTAAAAACCATATGAACATGTCAATGGATGCAGAGAAAATATTTGATAAAATTCAACATCTTTTCATGATAAAAACATTCAGCAAAGGAGATATGGAATTTCCTTAATCTATAAATATCCTAGGAAAGGGCATCTATAAGTAAATTACAGCTAACATCATACTTAATGGTAAAGTATTAAACACTTTCCCTTTGAGGCTGGGAATAAGACAAGGATAAATACTATCACCATCCTGCTTTACATGGTACTGGAGATTCTAGACAGTGCAACTAAGCAAGAAAATATAGAAAAGGTATAGAGATGGTAAAGGAAGAGGTATAACTCATTATTTACAGATGGCATGATTGTGTATGTAGGAAATCTAAAAGAAATCTAAATGAACCTATTATAAAGCTATTGGAATTAATAAATGTAGCAAGATAACTGAATGCAAGAATATGTGGTAGGCACTATTAGAAACAACACTTGGAAAATGAGATTTACAAAAGCAGTACAGACATCACATGGGAATGAATCTAATGAAAGATGTGCAAGACCTCAACATTGAAAATTATAAACATGTCGTTGATGGAAATTTTTTTTTTTTTTT